AAGAGGAGAAAGAGGTAAGAAAGAGAAGAAGAGGAAGAAAGAAGGAGAATGAGGTAAGAACAGGAAAAGGAAGGGGAAGAAAGGAGAAAATGTGAGAGATTGAATGGTGGGTAGGGACATCAGCGAAAGATAGAAAAAGAATAATAAGAATATTGATGACAAAGTGAGGCTGGGATGATACTTGTAATTAAAAGTTTAATGACATGAAAATTATTCGAGTCACAAAAATGGGAAGATCATGATAAACTTAGAATTAGATTTTGAAAGAACAGTGATGGACAGAGAGAGCGGGATTTTGGAATTAGAACTTAAGGAAATCGGTTCGATATATATAGAATTAGATTTTGAAGAGTTGTGAACATATTTGATTTTGAGAGGGGAGGCGACGAGGGGAGATAGTATAAATTGAAATTTTTAAATAGATAAAGCAAAATATCAGAATTAATTTATCAGGAAGTGGACAGATATTTAGATATTAGAATTGGATTTTGAAAGAGTTGAACATGTTTTGAATTTTGAGAGGGGAGGGCGAAACAGGGGGAGATAGTATGAAAATGAATAGATAAATAAAAAATATCAGAGTTAATTTATCAGGAAGTTGACAGATATTTAGAAATATTAGAATTAGATTTTGAATTGTGGGCAATAATTGATTTTGAGGGAGGGCGAACGGGGGAAATAGTATAAATTGAGTAAATAAATAAAAAAATATAATAAATTTATCAGGAAGTGGACAGATATTTAGATATTAGAATTAGATTTTGAAGAGCTGTGGGCATAATTGATTTTGAAGGAGAGGCGAACGAGGGGAGACTGTAATAAATAAATGATGAATAAATTTAAAAAAAATACAGAATTTAATTTATCAGGAAGTTGACAGAAGTATTTAGATACTAGAATTAGATTTTGAAGAGTTGTCGAAAGTGGGACAATTTGATTTTGGAGAGTGGAGGCGCGAGGGGGGGGGGGGAGGGCGTATAAAATGAATAAATGAATAAAACAAAATATCGAATTTAATTATTCTGGAAGTGGGACAGATAAATTTAACTTTGAGGGGGGGGGGTCAGAGACGAAGGTGGGAGATTAAAGTAGATAATAGGTAATAAACAAAATATCCAAAACTAATTCTTGCAGGAAGTGGACAGATATTGGAATTGAGAAGGCAGGCGACAGGTGGAGACAATACAAATCAATAAATAAAACAAATATCAAAATTGATTCTTCAGGGGTGGACAGAGGTGAGGCGAACAGGAGGGAGGACAGAAATATAAATAAATAGAGGTAAAATAAAACAATATAAAACTAATCATTAAGGAAGTGGACAGATATTAAATTTGAGAAGGCCAGGTCGAAAGGTGGTAAGACAATACAAAACAATGAAATTAAAATCCAAATATCAAAATACCATTATTCCAGGAAGAAATCCTTGATAATTGAGGTGACAGCAGGGAAAAACTGTATGAAAATAAATAGATGAAATACCATTATCACAATATCAGGAATATATTTTTCAGGATGTTGACAGATTGTTTAGATTTTAAGAATTAGATTTTGAAAAATTGTGGACAGTGGGACAGATATGTTAGATTTTGAGAAGGAGTTGTGTGAGAGACAATACAAAATATCAAAATTAAATTATTCATGAAGTGGACATATATTCATTTCAAGGGGGGGGGGGGGGAGGAGACAGTACTATAAATTATACTAGAACAAAATAAAATAAAAAATTTTCAGGACGTTGACAGATGTTTTAGATTTTTAGAATTTAGATTTTGAAGAGTTGTGGACAGTGGGACAGATATTTTTTTTCTTTTGAGAGAGGGAGAGCGAGATGGGGGGGGGGGGCAAGGCGACAGTATTAAAAAATGAATAAATAATTAAAACAAATATAAAATAATTTTTTTCAGGAAGTGGACAGATATTTAACTTTGAGGGGGGGGGTCAGAGACGACAGGTGGAGACGAAATAGAATAAAAATAGGTAAATAAAACAATATCAAAACTAAAATATTAAAAAGGAAGTGGGACAGATATTGGAATTTGAGAAGGGAGGCGACAGTGGAGACAAAAACAAAATAAATAAATAAAAAAAAACAAAAAACAAAACAAAATAGACATGATTTTATTTTGGAAAGTTGAACAGATATTTAGATTTCTAGAATTAGATTTTGAAGAGTTTGTTGGACAGTGGGACAGATATTATATTTTTGAGAAGGGAGTTGTATGAGAGACAATACAAAATAAATAAAATAAAACCAATATCAAATTAATTATTCAGGAGTGACAGAATTTTTTACTTTGAGGGGGGGGGGCACAGGGAAACTGTATAAAAATAAATAGATAAATAAATCACAATATGCAGAAATTAATGTTTTTCTGGATGTTGACACAGATGTTTAGATTTTAGAATTAGATTTTTGAAGAGTTGTGGACAAGTGGGACAGATATTAGATTTTGAGGAAGGGAGTTGTGTTGAGAGGACAATACAAAATTATCAAAAAATTAATTATTGATGAAGTGGACATATATTTCATTTTCAGGGGGGGGGGGGAGGGAGACAGTATAAGAATATAAATAGAACAAAATAGAATTAAATTTTCAGGAAGGTTGACAGATGTTTTAGATTTTAGAAATTAGATTTTGAAGAGTTGTGGACAGTGGGGACAGATGTCTGATTTTGGAGGGAGGCGAGGGGGGGGGGAGGTGCAGATAAAAATGAATAAATTAATAAAACAAAATAGAATAATTTTTTTCAGAAGTGGACAGATATTTAACTTTGGGGGGGGGGGGGGCGGAGACGACAGCGTGGGGAGACGAAATAGAATAAATAGGGTAAAATAAAACAATACAAAAACTAATAATTCAAGGAAGTGGACAGATATTGGAATTTGAGAAAGGAGGCGACAGGTGTGGAGACAATATAAAAATAAATAAATAAAACAAAACAAAAACAGAAACAAATAGACTTATTTTCTTTGGAAGTTGACAGATATTTAGATTTTTAGAATTAGATTTTGAAGAGTCGTGGACAGTGGGACAGATATTAGAATTAAGAGAAGGCAGGCGACAGGTGGGAGACATACAAAATCAATAAATAAAACAAAATAATCAAAATTGATTCTTCAGGAAGTGGACAGAGGTGAGGCGACAGGAGGGAGACAAAATGAAATAAATAGGTAAATAAAACAATATCAAAACAAATCATTAAGGAAGTGGAACACATATTTGGAATTTTAGAAGGGAGAGCGACAGGTGGGAGACAATACAAAATAAATAATAAAACAAACAAAAACAGAAAACAAAATAGAATGATTTTTTTTCTGGAAGTTGACAGATATTTAGATTTTAGAATTAGATTTTGAAAGAGTTGTGGACAGTGGGACAGATATTAGAATTTGAGAAGGGAGTTGTATGAGAGACAATACAAAATAAATAAATAAAACCAAATATCAAATTAATTATTCAGGAAGTGATTTTTTGACTTTGAGGGGGGGGGCACAGGCGGGGAAACTGTATAAAATAAATAGATAAATAAATCACAAATACAGAATTAATTTTTCAGGATGTTGACAGATGTTTAGATTTTAGAATTAGATTTTGAAGAGTTGTGGACAGTGGGACAGATATTAGATTTTTGAGAAGGGTGGTTTTGTGAGACAACATACAAAATATCAAAATAAATTATTCATGAAGTGGACATATATTTCATTTTCAGGGGGGGGGGAGGAGACAGTATAAGATATAATAGAACCAAAATAAGATAAAATTTTCAGGAAGTTGACAGATGTTTAGATTTTAGAATTAGATTTTGAAGAGTTGTGGACAGGTGGGACAGATATCTTCTTTTTGAGAGGGAGGCGGAGGGGGGGGCAGTATGAATGAATAATTAATAAAACAAAATAGAATAATTTTTTTTTCAGGAAGTGGAGCAGATATTTTAACCTTTTGAGGGGGGGGGGGGTCGGAGACGACAGGGTGGAGACGAAAATAGAATAAATAGGTAAATAAAACAATATCAAAACTATTATTCAAGGAAGTGGACAGATATAATGAATTTGAGAAGGAGGCGACAGTGGGAGACATACAAAATAAATAAATAAAACAAAAATATCAAATTGATTCTTCAGGAAGTGGACAGAGGGCGAACAGGTGGAGACGAAAAATAGAATAAATAGGTAAATAAAACAATATCAAAACTAATTATTCAGGAAGTGGACAGATATTGGAATTTGAGAAGGGAGGCGACAGGTGGGAGACAATACAAAATCAATAAATAAAACAAAACGAAAACAGAAACAAAATAGAATGATATTTTCTGGAAGTTGACAGATATTTAGATTTTAGAATTAGATTTTGAAAAGAGTTGTGGACAGTGGGACAGATATTAGATTTTGAGAAGGGAGGTGTATGAGAGACAATACAAAATAAATAAATAAAACAAAAATATCAAAATATTAATTATTCAGGAAGTGACAGTTTATTTGATTTTGAGCGGGAGGCAGCAGATCTGGAACTAAGATTTAGATTTAAATTTTGAAGAGACAGTACTACAATGCATAGATGCACAATAACTAATATAAAAATAATTAGAACATAAACAATAATATAAAAATAGATTAGCGAAATTAAGGTTGGCAAAGTGTTTGATAGACTTGCCAACTAACGAGAAATGAAACGAATAGAGACAGAAAAAATATGTGATAAACAGAATGAGATAAAAAACAGAAANTAATGTGTGTTAATGCAAGATTTTAGGTCCTGAGATCTAATCTGTAGAACTGATTTTATTTGTCACAATAAAGGAAATACAGCAAACCTCGATTTGCTTGTAGATAAGTCTAGAGCTGATTTGAGTAAATCACAAACCTAGAAACGAATAAGCAGATATTCATAAGGATACATTTATCGAAATAGATTTTATCATACGATTTTATGCCTTCCAATTGAACAAAGGAATATTGTAGGACAAAGAAATTCACGTATTTGTATTTTCATCTTTAATCTTCACACAAATGATTCCAAATACCAATTTTCCGGAGATATTCCCTGTTTTGTCTTCGAGACGTGATCACCACCCTGCCTGTGCCTGAAAAACCGGCGTGAGCAAACCGGACTATCAGACACATCTGGTGAAGGACCATCGCCACAAGGCCTGTCGTAATCCATGCCTGACCCCTTCCTTATCCCCTGTAGCGGTAGCGGTAGCCGGCGTAGTAAGGATAGGAGTAAGGATAACCGTGATAATATCCTTTGTAGTAGTGAGGGTGTCCGTAATATCTGTAGTGAGGTTCAGCTTCGGGTTCAGGGTCGGCTGATCTCTTGTGGTGCTTGTGGTAGGTGTAAGGGTAGCCATAGTGATGGCTGTAACGGTAGCCATAGTAGGGGTAGCGATAGCCATGGTGGTAGCCGTAGTGGGGATAGCCATGATGGACTACCTGGTAACTATAGCTCTTGGAGGGATCAGGGTCAGCTACTGGTTCAGGATCAGCTGCTGGTTGAGGGTCAGCTTCCGGCATGGGGTCAGCTGAGCGCTTTTTCAGACCGTGAACTCGAGGAGCCACGAAGGAGGTGCCGCCACCAGGATGCCTGGCCACTCCATCGCCCTTCAGAGGCTCTAGGTGATGGTGACGGGGATAGTAATAGTGAGGGTAGTAATAGTAAGGAGAGCGGAAGTAGTGTGGTTCGGGATCGGCGTGCGCAACCACAGCCGCTGCCAAACACACCAGTACAGCTACCTGTAATAAGGCAAGGGAGTTCGTAGAATTAGTATTTTTCACTTCGCATGAAAAATAATCTTCATGATTGCAATACTATACTACTGGCTATTTTTTTTATTGGTACATATATTTATATTTAATAATCTATTTTTATTTAAATTAGATTTATTACCTTTATAAGACGTGTATTTTCATTTCTACATATATAAATTTCCAACATATATATGTAAATAGGTCTCTGAATAAATTTCCTCTCATGTCTTTATATATATATATATATATATATATATATATATATATATATATATATATATATATATATATATATATATATATATATATATATATATATATATATATATCCATATCTATATTCACAAAATATATATATACATATCATTATATAAAAAAGATGCATGCATCTACGAGTATTAACATATCTATATGCATATACATATATGTGTATGTGTGTGTGTGCATGTATGTGTCTATATGTAAGCACATAGAAATATATATACTCTATATATTTATCTATATATATATATATATGTATATATATTAAATATATATATGTTTATATAAATATATATAATATGCATATACACAATTATATATATTTTATATACAATATATATAATTACAGGTATATTTGAGTGTGTATATATGTATATTTACATGGATATACATACACACACATTATATATATATATATATATATATATATATATATATATATATATATATATATATATATATATGTATATATATATATATATATATATATATATATATATATATATATATATATATATATATATATATATATATATATATATATATATGTGTGTGTGTGTTCATCTGAACGTGTGCCTTACCGCGAACTTCATGGCTGGTCCTGTCGGAGGCTCACTGAGGACGGGTCGTCTCTGCGGATTGCTTGCGAAGCCTCCTTATATATGGAGTCTGACGTGGCCTTCAGGGGGCGTGGCTTCCTCGCCGATTATTTTCCCGATAGGCCTAAGTGCTTGCAGGAGAACACCTGGATAGGTGGATCGGCTGATAGATAGTAATGTATGTTCAGATGCATGAATTAGATTTATGCACATATGACTACACATACATACATAATATATATATATATATATATATATATATATATATATATATATATATATATATATATATATATATATATATATATATATATATATATATATATATATATATATATATATATATATATGCATGTACTTTTGTCTGTATATGCACAAACACATATATGTGTTTCTATATACATTTTTATATCTGTATATGCACACACGACACACACATATATGCAAATCCATACATACATGTGTCTACACGTGTGTGTGTCGATGGATAATCATACAGAGTGTATATTTATGTACATATAGTGGTATATATTTAATAGCATGTATATATGCAATCATGCACACGTATCTAGATAGATACCTTTTTCGGTGATAGCACCTAGACATACCAAAGTTCTCTCTGCCCCATTGCTTTCTTTTCTCCTCCCCACAACAACCGTACATGGATTTATCTATTTATTTATTCATTTTTTATCAGATTATGTGTATATTGTGATACATTATAGATTATAAATTATGTAAATAAATTTAAATGATGTGTAGAATGGAGTGTAATATAGTAGCTTATTATGTTATTATAGAATACTATAAATCTACGTAATTAAATAAATATGATGATACATAACAAACCTGTGGCATCCTTAGACACCTGGCCCATGGGGGTGCCGCGGTACCCAGAGTGGGAGCCACTGGTTTACACACTCAGCAAGTGATATTCTCTGGACCTGTTTGATTTGTCAACAGTAGTTCATAAGCCCAGAGTTGTAACCCGAATTCTGTCACAAGGATTGTTCCTTACTGTTAGGAAGGTTTTCTAAATGAAACTAATTTTAGAGATATTGCCGAATTTTTCATTTTGCTTTCTCAATATATAGTATAGTGAAGTAGGTTGACTTACATTAAACAAAAATATTGAAATAATATTTCCATGGGAAATATGTGTTAAGAGCTCTTTCAATACTGCACAATGTACTTTCTGTCTTTACTTTTAACTGCTACCTCTTGAGATCCTTCCTGTGTTCAGCATTCCATATCTGGTATTTATTATACCAAAGAGATCATATAGCAATAATTGGAGTGCCTACTGTAGATCCTTACAGCAAGAAATCTTAACACGAAATTGTGTTCCGTGTATTAACACTTTAACGAGCATTAAAGGGTCCACATTTGGTGCTTAATATTCCAAGATCTCTCCTTTTCTATTTGGTTTACAGTTTCTGAAAGGAGTTTGTGTTATAATAATTTTAATTCATGAATAAAATATCGGTTTACTGACCGACAGACGAAATGTAAACATGTATGTCGTGATAGACCTTTTCAGGAACACGTAAAATAAACATGATATGCATTAGAAGTTACACAATATCAGTTTATGTCTGACATTCATTCAGAAACAGTTTATCTACTATTACTGTGGTGGCACATAGCGGGTCAGTTTTCCGGAAGGAGTACAGAAACTCCTTCCGCACAACACTTTGGCCATTTAGTACTAAACCGTGGGTGGGTCTGCTGTTCACTTCTATTCATATGGTGTTTATTTAATTAATCGTACGTATCTAATCTGAGACATACTAGGATACCGTTCCCTGATGTTCCATGAGGTCGCCACTGAAGGATTTGAAGAATTCATCAGTATACTTCAGTTAACGAATTCATAGTTCAGATGGTATTTAAAATAATAGTTCTTATCCCAGACGCATGCATGGGATCTATAAGTTGCAAAATGTTTTGTTTTTTTATTATCAGAAATGTTGAAGAAAAGACACTACTTCTATATGTTAGAGCAGGATTTTAGGTCCTGATATCGTGTCTCTAGAATTGATTTCATTTGTCACAATATAGGAAATATAGCAAAACTTGAATTTGTAGATAAGTTTAGATCTCATATGAGTAAACCGCAAATCTAGAAGCAGATAAGCAGATATTCATAAGGGTATATATATATGTAGATTTTATCATATGATTTCATGTTTTCCAAAAGAACGAAGGAATGTTGTAGGGCAAAGAAAATTCGTGTATTTTTATTCTCATCTTTAATCTTCACACTAATTATTCCAAACACCAAACAATTTTGCAGAGATATTCCCTCAGTTTTGTCTTCGAAACGTGATCACCACCCTGCCTGTGCCTGAAAAACCGGCGTGAGCAAACCGGACTATCAGACACATCTGGTGATGGACCATCGCCACAAGGCCTGTCGTAATCCATGCCTGACCACTTCCTTATCCCCTGTAGCGGTAGCGGTAACCGGCGTAGTAAGGATAGGCGTAAGGATAACCGTGATAATATCCTTTGTAGTAGTGAGGGTGTCCGTAATATCTGTAGTGAGGTTCAGCTTCGGGTTCAGGGTCGGCTGATCTCTTGTGGTGCTTGTGGTAGGTGTAAGGGTAGCCATAGTGATGGCTGTAACGGTAGCCATAGTAGGGGTAGCGATAGCCATGGTGGTAGCCGTAGTGGGGATAGCCACGATGGACTACCTGGTAACTATAGCTGTTAGAGGGATCAGGGTCAGCTACTGGTTGAGGATCAGCTACTGGTTGAGGGTCAGCTTCCGGCATGGGTCAGCTGAGCGCTTTTTCAGACCGTGAACTCGAGGAGCCACGAAGGAGGTGCCGCCACAGGATGCCTGGCCACTCCATCGCCCTTCAGAGGCTCTAGGTGATGGTGACGGGGATAGTAATAGTGAGGGTAGTAATAGTAAGGAGAACGGAAGTAATGTGGTTCGGGATCGGCGTGCGCAACCACAGCCGCTGCCAAACACACCAGTACAGCTACCTGTAATAAGGCAAGGGAGTTCGTAGAATTAGTATTTTTCACTTCTCATGAAAGATAATCATGATTACAATGCTATACTACTGGCTATTTTTTTTTTTTTTTGATTGGTACATTATATTTGATAAATTTATGTATATTTAGATTAGATTTATTAACTTTATAATACGTGTATTTTCATATATAAAATATATAAATTTCCACATATATATGCAAATAGGTATATGAATAAATTTCCCCTCATGTCTTTTATATATATATATATATATATACATATATATGTATATATATATATATATATATATATATATATATATATATATATATATATATATATATATATATGATCCATATATATATTCACAACAAACATATATACTTATCATTTTATCACAAAAGATGCATGCATCCACGAGTATTAATATATCTATATGTATATACATATATGTGTATGTGTGTGTGTGCATGTATGTGTCTATATGTAAGGACATAGAAAATATATATACTCATATGTATATATTTATCTATCTATCTATCTATCTATCTATCTATATATGCATATATGTATCTATAATTAATTATATATATGTATATATAAAGATATATATGTATATATATGCATATATATAATTATATATATTTTATATACAAATATATAATAATTACAGGTATATTTGAGTGTGTGTATATATGTATATTTACATGGATATACATACACATGTATATATATATATATATATATATATATATATATATATATATATATATATATATATATATATATATATATACCGTATAAGTGTGTGTTTATCTGAACGTGTGCCTTACCGCGAACTTCATGGCTGGTCCTGTCGGAGGCTCACTGAGGACGGGTCGTCTCTGCGGATTGCTTGCGAAGCCTCCTTATATATGGAGTCTGACGTGGCCTTCAGGGGGCGTGGCTTCCTCGCCGATTATTTTCCCGATAGGCCTAAGTGCTTGCAGGAGAACACCTGGATAGGTGGATCGGCTGATAGATAGTAGTATATGTCCTGATGCAATTAGATTCATGCATATATGAATACACACGCATATATATGTATATACATATATATACATTTACATGTATGTACTTTTGTGTGTATATGCACACACACACATATATGTGTGCATGTGTTTGTTTATGCATTCATATATGTGTGTGTCGATAGTGATATATATGTATGTAGTAATTCTATTTATACATATACATACATACACAGATATACAGATAGATATAGATACCTTTTTCGGTGATAACACCCCAGACATACCTAAGTGCTCTCTGCGCCATTGTCTTCTTTGCCTCAAACCACAACTTTCGTAAATTAATTTTAGTAGATAATGTGTATATCACGATTCATTGTAAAGGATATAAATAAAGCTGAATTATGTGTAGAATGTAGTGTAACCGAGTAGTTTACGATAATGTTTATATAGAATGTTAAAAATCTACCTATCTAATTATATATGATATATGTAAACCTTGCGGCATCCTTAGATACTGCCCATGGCACCCAGGGTGCCACGGTACCCAGAGTGGGAGCCACTGGTTTACATTCTCAGCAAGTGACATTCTCTGGGACTGTTTGATTTGTCAACAGTGGTTCATAAACCCATAGTTGTTACCTGAATTAGGTCACAAGGATTCTTCCTTCCTGTTAGGATTGTTTTTCAAAATTAAACCAAATTTAGAGATATTGCCGAATTTCGCAACCTGTTTCTCATATAAATGTATATTTCACGGAAAAAAGTATATTATCATTAAACGAAAATATTGATATGATATTTGCAGGGGAAATATGTGTTTGGAGCCTTTTCGATGATGTTCAGTGTATTTACTGTACTTACTATTTACAATTACCATGTGTTCAGCATTCCATATCAGATGTTCATCATATCAAAGAGATCATATAACGATAATTGGAGCGCATAATGCAGATCCTTACAGGAAGAAATTCCACACCAAAGAAGGTTCCGTGCATGAACACTTTCAGGAGCATTAAAGGGTAAAAAATCTAATGCAGAATATCCAAAATCCCCCTTTTCTATTAGTTTTGCAGTTATGGAAAAGAGTTTCTGAATTACTTCTGTTAAAAGAACCCACTAAGTTACAGTTCCATACTCATAGTAATCAGAATATTTATGAATGAATTGATTTTGACGTGTGTGACTTGTCAGCCTGATAATCTCTCCTTATGATTTTAAACAGGTATAGTATATATACACATTTTTGTTTTATCTACTACGAAATCTAATCTTGAAATTTCACAAATTATACACATCAAGCGACATTAATTCATCAATTCATATTTTATTTACTATTACTGTGCTCGACTAAGCTTTTCAGTTTTCCGGAGGAAGTACAGGAACTCCTTCCGCACAGCATTTGGCCATTTAGTACTAAACCGCAGGTGGCTCTTCTGTTCAGTTCTATGTATATGGTATTGTCCATTATTAATCGTAGGAATCAAATCTGAGACATACTAGGATACCGTTCCCTGATGTTCCATGAGTTTGCCACTGAAGGATTTTAAGAATTCATCAGTATACTTCAGTTAACATATATTTATCATAGTCCTTAGCCCAGATCTATGCATGAAAATATATGTTGCAAAATGCTTTGTTTCATGATTATCAGAAATGTTCCACTCGTTGAAGCAAAGGATACTGCTAATATGTGTTAGAGCAGGATTTTAGGTCCTGAAATCCCATCTACAAAATAGATTTCAAGTGTCACAATAAAATATAGGAAAACTTGAATTTGTTTGTAGTAAGTCTAAATAATTTGAGTAAATCAAAACCTAGAAGCAGATAAGCAGATATTCATAAGGGTATATTTATCTAAGATTTTATCATACGATTTTAAAAAAAAAAAAAAAAAAGAAGGAATGTTATAGGACAAAGAAATTTACGTATTTCTATTATCACTTTTAATCTTCACACTAATGATTCCAAATACTAATTTTGCAGAGATATTCCCTCAGTTTTGTCTTCGAGACGTGATCACCACCCTGCCTGTGCCTGAAAAACCGGCGTGAGCAAACCGGACTATCAGACACATCTGGTGAAGGACCATCGCCACAAGGCCTGTCGTAATCCATGCCTGACCCCTTCCTTATCCCCTGTAGCGGTAGCGGTAACCGGCGTAGTAAGGATAGGTGTAAGGATAACCGTGATAATATCCTTTGTAGTAGTGAGGGTGTCCGTAATATCTGTAGTGAGGTTCAGCTTCGGGTTCAGGGTCGGCTGATCTCTTGTGGTGCTTGTGGTAGGTGTAAGGGTAGCCATAGTGATGGCTGTAACGGTAGCCATAGTAAGGGTAGCGATAGCCATGGTTGTAGCCGTAGTGGGGGATGGCCATGGTGGACTACCTGGTAACTATAGCTGTTGGAGGGATCAGGGTCAGCTACTGGTTGAGGATCAGCTGCTGGTTGAGGGTCAGCTTCCGGCATGGGGTCAGCTGAGCGCTTTTTCAGACCGTGAACTCGAGGAGCCACGAAGGAGGTGCCGCCACCAGGATGCCTGGCCACTCCATCGCCCTTCAGAGGCTCTAGGTGATGGTGACGGGGATAGTAATAGTGAGGGTAGTAATAGTAAGGAGAGCGGAAGTAGTGTGGTTCGGGATCGGCGTGCGCAACCACAGCCGCTGCCAAACACACAGTACAGCTACCTGTAATAAGGCAAGGGAGTTCGTAGAATTAGTATTTTCACTTTGCTTATAAAAAATCGTCCATCTTCATAATTGCAATGCTATACTGAAGGCTGCTTTATAAAATTAGTTACATTTACTATTTTCAGATTTAAATTAGATTTATTAGCTTCAAAAGACTGTCCGAGTGTTTTAATATACATACATCTACATAAATTTCCACACATATATGCTTGTGTGATTACATATATGCATACATATACATGTATGAATAAATTTCCTTTCATATATATATATATATATATATATATATATATATATATATATATATATATATATATATATATATATATAGCAATGCATGCGTATAAAACACGTACATATATATATGTTGTGTGTTCATCTAAATGCGTGACTTACCGCGAACTTCATGGCTGGTCCTGTCGGAGGCTCACTG